CATATTATATATATATATATATATATATATATATATATATATGTCGTACCTAGTAGCCAGAACGCACTCATCAGCCTACTATTCAAGGCCCGATTTGCCTAATAAGCCAAGTTTTCATGAATTAATTGTTTTTCGAGTACCTAACCTACCTAACCTAACCTAACCTAACTTTTCCGGCTACCTAACCTAACCTAACCTATAAAGATAGGTTAGGTTAGGTTAGGTAGGGTTGGTTAGGTTCGGTCATATATCTACGTTAATTTTAACTCCAATAAAAAAAATTGACCTCATACATAATGAAATGGGTAGCTTTATCATTTCATAAGAAAAAAATTAGAAAAAATATATTAATTCAGGAAAACTTGGCTTATTAGGCAAATTTGGCCTTGCCTAGTAGGCTGAGAAGTGCATTCTGGCTACTAGGTACGACATATATATATATATATATATATATATATATATATATATGTCGTACCTAGTAGCCAGAACGCACTTCTCAGCCTACTATGCAAGGCCCGATTTGCCTAATAAGCCAAGTTTTCCTGAATTAATATATTTTTTCTAATTTTTGTTTTATGAAATGATAAAGCTACCAATTTCATTATGTATGAGGTCAATTTTTTTTTATTCGAGTTAAAATTAACGTAGATATATGACCGAACCTAACCAACCCTTCCTAACCTAACCTAACCTATCTTTATAGGTTAGGTTAGGTTAGGTAGCCGAAAAAGTTAGGTTAGGTTAGGTTAGGTAGGTTAGGTTGTCGAAAAACAATTAATTCATGAAAACTTGGCTTATTAGGCAAATCGCGCCTTGCATAATAGGCTGAGAAGTGAGTTCTGGCTACTAGGTACGACATATATATATATATATATATATATATATATATATATATATTGACTCACCATCAGTGTCACAATATATATATATATATATATATATATATATATATATATATATATATATATATATATATATATATATATATATTTTAAATATAGAAGGGAGTACCACCTCTAGCTGGAAGGGGGACCCATAATAGCCTCGGAGGAAACCACGCATAACGCATTAGAGGGAATGTTTAGATCCTCTCCAATACAGTTTCTGTGTGCTTTTCTCCTACCACCCCCTTCCTTTTTTATTTTTTGTGCTTTATTATGCATTTGATGCATAATATATATATATATATATATATATATATATATATATATATATATATATATATATATATATATATATATATATATATATATATATATATATATATATATATATATATGGTGTACAGAAAACCACAAAGAAATGGGTTAGTTTGATGTTAATAAAGGCTCTGACCAGTCGAAAACGTTTCAACATTCCCCTTTTTCTGTTTTTTACCGCATACTGATGATCAATCTGCAACCGTCAGTTGCATATATATTTATATATACAGGTTGCCTGTGTCTCCAACAAAGCGACTTATTGTTATGTTCTACTGCCGCCCCCTTCTAAAACAAAATTAGCTTTGGAATAGTTTGAAAGATTTAAAGAAGTTACACGTAAAAGTTCATTTTCTCTAAATTATATTCTATCATAGAACACTTATTTTTGGTATATCTATTCTATTCTGATTTAGCACTAATTCTCTGATATAGCAAATATAGCAATAATTCTAAATTTACCTGAGGGCCACTATTACTCTAATGGCCTCAGTGTGGACAGGAATCCGGTGGCTTGTTAAAGGCCCCTCATTTGTCCCAATGGTTTTGTCCATTTGCATCTTAAATTGTATCAGGGTTTCGTCATTTAGGACTTCGGCTGGTAGGCAGTTTTATTTTTAACAACTCATTCAAATAGTTACACTTTTGGCTGTATTGAACAGGCATACAGCATTAACGGAAATATAAAATACCTTTTACATTAATAAAATTACATTATTACATGAAACATGGAGCACATAATTACAAGTGTGAGACAGACATATATAGATTACTAGGCCTCGTTCTTGACTCAAAATCGCGGATCCGGACTTCGATTCCTGGGCGAGACAAAAACGGTTGGGCACATTTCCTTCCCCCAAATGCCTTTTATTCACCTAGCGGTACATAGGTACTAAAGATGTGAATGATGATAGACTCATCTGTGTGCCTGTCATCCATGTATATCCTCTCGTTTCGGTACTGAACATTATTTAATTGTACATTAATCTAATTGAACAATTAATTACTTTAGTTGAACATTCTTTAACAAATGTGCATTACTCTCATGTTCTTTGTACACATTCTGTTGAATTAAAATTAAAATTTGAATGTTATCTGTTTCATTAGTACGAATAAGTATTTGGTGTAAGTATTTAAGTTTGGTTCTGTCTCTCCCCCGTAGCGGAGCCTCTTGCGCTCAGGAGGGATATCTTGAGGTTATCTTGAGATGGTTTCGGGCCATAGTGTCCCCACGGCGCGGTCCTCGTCCAGGTCTCCACGACAGCACTCTGGCACCTGACAGCACACAGAAGGATACACTCAAGAGGGATACACTCAGGAAGGAATACACTCAGGAGGGAATACACTCTGGGTGATTTACAAGGAGCATTTAATAAAGCCAACAAAGAGGTTATCTTATATGAACTAGCTGGTCTTGGTGTTAAAGGGAGATTATTGCGCTGGATAGGGGATTATCTTCACGAAAGGAAGGCTCAGATGTGGTATCAAGCTTGTACATCAGATGTGAGATCTTTTGAACTCGGCACACCTCAGGGAGGAGTGTTGAGTCGCACCCTGTTTAATATACTAATGAATAAGATAGCATCGGAGAGATACTCAAATGGGGTAACTCCGATCATAGATGCCGATGATATTTTGTTTCAGGACAAAGATATTTCAAAGGTTCAAACGATGTTGAATAATTTCGGAAATCTGTGTCCCTATATGGGACTGGTGGTTAATGAAGACAAAACTAAGTTTTGTCTTCATTAACCCATTGAAGTCGGAGGCCCATTATATTGAACATAAACGTTAAAAATATAGTTAATATATATAAATATTTAGGCATATATGTTGGATATACCCATGAGAGTTTGGAAGCTGAGATGAACAGACTGTTGGGTCAATGTCGGAAGAGATTACAGCCTCTGAAGGCCTTGGCATGCTGTGGAAAGGGAGTGGGAGTCCCTGTGCTACGAATGATATACTTGAGTACTGTAAGATCTCTTATTGATAATGCTGCACCTGTCATTTCTTGTTTTGGAAAAGGTAGGATGGGCAAGTTGGAGAAGGTACAAAGTGAAGCCATGAGAATTATCTTAGGATGCCCAAGAAATGTTATGATTGAGATAATGAGGATGGAGTTGAATCTGAAGAGTATTGGGGATAGAATTTAAGAGATAAATGTAGCCTCTGCTATTAGATTAATAAGAGGTGGGGGAGCTAATGAATTAATCTTCTCAGTTCAAAAGATGGGAAGTAATGAGCAATGTATGATAAAGTATAAGACGAGAGCATATATTAGTACCTTATATTCTAATGTTATAAAGTATGATGTTATACCAGAATGTATTGCTCTGCCTAAGAGACAATTCACACCACCATGGAAGGAGTGTAACGTAGATGTATTAATTATTCCCTTGCAAAAGAAAAAAAAAGTATGTATGAGATAGGAGAGCTGAGGGGCAACATATGATTGTATAATTAGAAAATGACCTACAGAAAACAGCCTATATGTATATTGTGATGGGTCAGTAGCTAGGGATGGGAAGGCAGGATGTGGAGTCTTGTTTAGAGAGTACACTGACATCGGCACTGTAGATACTGTTATTGGACGCCGCTTAACTGACAATGTCTCTTCAACGCAGGCTGAACTCTAAGGTGTATTAGCAGGATTACAGGAAGTAGTCAAATGTGGTAAAAATGCCTGCTTCTTTATTGACAGTAGAGGAGCGTTAGAGTCTTTAAATAACAGACGACCAGTTTACCAAAATATTGTGATTGAGTGTAGAGAGAATGTTAAGAAATTAGAAAAAAAAATGGATATAAAGTAAGATTCATGTGAATCCCTTCACATGTGGGAATACTGTTGAGCGAGGTAGTTGATGAGATATCGAAGAGAGCCACGGAAAAAAATTCTTGTTGATGTTGTGTGTCAATTAACTTTGAGACAAATAAAAACAAGAATCAAGATGATCAAAGAGGATGAAGAAAAGGTAAAGAGAATGGCAATGCAATAGTAACACACTAAAGAATTATGCAATAATAAATACAAATTCGTCCTTCACCTATGGTAGAGGAAAGTCTACTTGGAAGGATTCAATTTACATGAGATTAAGATTAGGATACAAATATATCTGGCAATACGGTGTTGATGTCAGTGAAAAAGATAAGGAGTGTAAATTATGTAGTATGCCGCACGCCCACACCTTAGAACATTATGTATTAGAGTGTCAACTTATTGATAACTATAGAAATAAGGAAATAAGTTCTGTACCACATCAAATTGTTTGGATGTGTGATAATGGTATGATAGACAGAATACTTAGGAGCTACATGAAATTGGCCCCAAGAGTGTAACACTTATATGCTGTGCTTACTATATTAACTTGCAATGTTAAATGGGATTCTTGTATTGTGATTTTTGTATTTGTACTCACTAAATTTGTGCGCCCCTTGAGGGACTTGAAGTAGAGGGGAATAGAAATAGCCTAAGCTACTCTATCCCTTTGAGATGTATTTTTTCTTGTCTCAGTAAACATACTTGAACTTGAACACTCAAGAGGGATACACTTAGGGGGGATACACTCAGAAGGGATACACTTAGGAGGATACACTCAGAAGGGATACACTCAAGAAGGACACACTCAGGAGGGATATACTCAGAGGGGGATACACTCAGGGGGGGGGGGATACACTCAAGGGGGACACACTCAGGGGGATACACTCAGGAGGGAAACACTCAGGGAACTGAGCACATTAAACAAGAAACACAATATGTGGTGGATTACATCCACCAGTAATCAGTAATTAAAGAAGACACGATATCACATATTTTATTTACACATTTTGAGATTCTATTACAGCAATAATTTCTCCAGATGAAACTATAATGATATATAAGGCAGGGTGGCTTTGACCAGTGTCAGAGGTGATATATTATGGTTATTAAAAGCCGCATCAATAGCAGGTCAGGTCAAGTTTTGAGTTTGTTGACTGAATTGTGTTTCAAATTGACTAAATTTGAGTTTCAGTCAATTTGTATTAACTTAATGTTACGAGATCCATCTACAAAAACACATTATTCTTGTTTGTATTAAACGTTACATTGGTCTGTATCAGAGTATATTACATAAATATTTTAGCAGCGAAATGCCCACACTTATATCTGCCAAATCGCTAATACGTAAATAAATACATAATTTTGACTGGTTTTTCAATTATATTGGAGTTTGTGTAACTCATCATGCCACTATGCTTTTGTGGCAGTACTGCCGAGAAAAAAACAGTTTAGGAAACCTCATAATATCGCCTGACGTCCACCCAAAGGTGATCCAAAGATAAGCTTAAAACTGAACCTGACTAAATATTTAGAACGTTATAACAGTGAGGGGCTAATGTTATATTTGAGTGTATTTGAATATAACTGTATAGGTGATGTTATACATTGAACTATATAGGGCGGCGGTTGTGGTGTAGTGATGAGTAATCAAGGAGAGTGTAGACTCACAAAATATAGCATTCACACAAGTAAACTAAACTTTACACAACATGCTCAAAACACTTAAAAGCACACATACAGAAGTGCGAAGTATTCCAACAGGAAGGCAGCTTCCCAAGTAGTAAACTATATATATATATATTCTGTGAATCGGTGATTCCTATATTCCAATCCACAATAAATATTTAATTACTGAAAGATTAACATTGCTAAATATACTTATTAAATAAAACCATAAGATATTAACTCTGTGTACAGTAAAAGGAAGGGAAAGGGTTGTGAACGGTTTTTAGTTATAAAATGAGGAAATATATGATTGATGTTATCAACATAAGTCAGTTTAATAGATAAGAGGTGTGTATACACATAAAGAACATTCCTTGGTCTCTTTTTGTATTTTCTCGATTCAAAAAGTTAATCTGGTTTCTTGACTCACATTCTATTAAATGTATACTTTTCGGCTTAAATGTCAACATTTTTATTTGAATACAAATGTGCAAAGTTATGGCGTCAGTTTACATAATTTAGTGGAAACATTCAGCATCTTAGTTAAATTTTTACATCCAGGTGGCATCAAGGGGTCATGTGTGTAAATGGTATACTTTTTCGAGGCTTTTCAAGACCTCTTTAGAAAAATAGTTTACATCTTAGAGGCCTCACAGGTGACTCTTTGTAAATGGTTTACATCTTGGTGTTAGAGGCCTCTATATCCTCTACAGTGTTCATGGCCGGGTTGTCGTATCCGTCACTCCTTATTATTGGCTCATCCGCTGGGGAGAAATAGAGAAATAATAATAATAAAAATAATAATAATAATAATAATAATAATAATAATAATAATAATAATAATAAAATCTAGCAATACGAGAATCCTATTCAGTAACAAATATAGAGTCCCTGTATTGGTACAGATAACTGCAGAGAAAGAAAAATGCAGTTCTTGCTGGGATTTCATTTCATAACGCGTGATAGAATTGATGAATTAACAGAGTTTACCTTCAACGGAGTTGACTGTAACCTTGGATTGCCTATAGGCAGTTTGAGGAAAATAATGCACAAAGAACTTCGTGAAAATGGTGTAGATTTGGGACAGTGAACTGTGTACTAGTTATTCTATCTATCGTCATACTATCATACAAGAACAGCCACATATCTGTGGATCATACAGTAAAATCAGCAGACTCCTAGAAGTTACTACTGCTCGGCTTAGACTCGGTTATAAGTCTGGGAGTTTGTATCACCTGTTACTGTAACTCTGACCAAATGTAAACTGTGTCAGCAAAAGTATTCGCCCGCCCTGCATCACTACGTGATGAAAACGTGGAAAAATGAGAGATTTTATAGGAAATTGTATAACAAATACACAAGAAATGTGTGAGTATTTAACTGAAAATAATCTGTTACTTGGTCTTAAACAATTATCCACAGTTTGCTAACGGTAGGTAGTAATGCTGGTGATTATAACCCCTCCCATAACCGTCAATTGGATGGCTATGTGGCGCAGGAGAAACAAATTAAAATATTATATATGGAATTACCTCGACAAGCAAACTTATTCTATGCGTTAAGACCTCTTGTGAACACAGAGATGACAGTTTGACCAACTATGAAGATATTGTTAGTTTATGTTAACAAATTATGTAGCTACCTCATCAGTACTGTAACTTGCTTAGCTAAACGAAGTTGGTCAGCTCTTGAACCCATTATATGCCGCTGTAACCTTTTCCACTACCGCCTACGACATGGGTATGGGGTGCATAATAAATCTGAACTCTAAATTTAAAACAAAAAAATTCCAACTAGTGAGGTATACAATAGAATGAATAATATAATAATAATAATACTGATAAAAATAAATGTAATAATATATAATATAAAGAAACTGGTGTTGGCTAAAGGCCTATCAACCTTTAACAATTATTAAGGCCAACACAAAAGTTATTGACTAACCAGAGTGTACATCTTTATCCTAAATGTGGTCCATGACTAAAGTAAACTTTCAAAATATACATTAAGAAACGGGGTAAACTTCGCGGTGTACATATCCTTGCATTGATGGAAAAATAATAATAAAAATAATAAATCACACAACATCTAGGTGTCAATAATATTCAAAATTGATGTTTCAGGTCTACAGATGTTTATCCTTCCCCAAGGAACACTCTGTGCTAAATAACATCAAAGAAAGCCAAAATAGACTTGTCTGCGACATGTTATTAAGCTTTTAGGCAAGTCAGTTGGAACACCACTGAGGCTGCAAGCTTCCTTGTAGCCAATACTCAAGTATCCTTTACTTTCTTATCGACTAAAGCAATCTCTTAGGGTATGTACACTGATGGGGATACCCTGCCCTGCGACTGATTAATTGATTGATTGATGAAGATTAAGCCACCCAAAAGGTGACACGGGCATAAATAGCCCGTAAGTGGGTGGCCCTTTGGAGCCATTACCAGTATCAATGGCTGATACTGGAGATCTGTGGAGGTGCGACTGCACCCTATGGAGAGGTCGTGACCTCTGCTGCGACTGATGGGTGTAAATTCTTATATACTCTACTATGGTGCTGCTCTGATGCTGATTAAGAGATTTCAATTTACAGGAGAAAGAGATGAATATTAGTTAACGCTACATCGAGTGTGTATATCAATTATGTGTTAAGTAAAAAATTGAATGTAATATTATTGAATAATATGAAAATGATTGGCTCATATTCAGATATCTTTTTAATATATTTGTTATAATTCATACAAGTAGAAAGGGAGTTTAAACATCTCTAGCCTCACAAAGGTTGTTAAAACATCGCTTGCATCACCAAAGAAAGTTTAAACATTGTTAGACTTGCCAATGGTAATTTAAATATCGCTAGCCCTTATTAATGGAAATTTTCCCAGCATTACAATAACCAGAGCTCCAAACAAAACGTTGTGAATGCTACTAAAACAAATAAGTGCGACTCCACTCACCATTATCTTGGGGTTTGGGCCTCCATTGATTCTTATAGACGAAGCAGCCGGCAGCGAACAGTGCGAAGATGACGAGAGCGGCTATCAGTCCTGTTATGAATTGTGTCTGTGGAGAGACAACAAAGAAAGGTGATTTACATTTTCGAAAAGTTCAGCGAAGATTTGTAATTGATTTGACAAATCTCGGCGCGGCCAATCATATTAGAAAGCTGAAGATATTTGTCTTAGTTGTCATTATATATTTTTTTGCACCGTATACAACTCTCAGTTCTGTAGCGTTCAACAGATAGGCGGAAAAAATTAATTCATGTCTCTTTTTCAATCTCTCTCTCCAATGATCATCTCCTTTTCACTTTTGAATCTTCTTCCATCTCTCGGCCTTTTTCTTCATCTGTCAGTGTTTCTCCACTTCACAGACTCATTCCAACTCACAACGTTTAATTGCCTCGCATTCCTATTTATTCCACAACACCTATCTCAATGCATTTTCGTATCTAGGAACATCTACCAATCATGCAAAGTTTGCATTCTTCTCAGAATCTCCCAACCACTAGATTCCTAACAAAAACCTATCAATTCACATTCTTTCCCATCCTCTCAAGCTCTCCTAATACTACAAGTCCCTCGATTGTTTCAAGCGTGGGTTGGACATGTATATGAGTGGGATTGGGTGGTTATAGATAGGAGCTGCCTCGTATGGGCCAATAGGCCTTCTGCAGTTACCTTTATTCTTATGTTCTTATGTTCTTATTCTTACAACCTCCTCATAACACACAGTCCTCAGCCTCACACAGTATTGCACCCATATCCTACCTACCCATTAATAAACTGAAAACATAAACATACTGGGGATATAGGAAGCAAACTATCCAAGATGAGCGTCAAGATCTGGTATACAAATTAAAATTAATTCACAAATAAGTAAGGTTCAATGAAAGAGAACCCGATGTGATTGCAATACTAAAAAAGAAAATCACTAACCTAACTTCAACTTGGAAATGGGGTAAATATTCATCCCAGAAATAAACAAAAGAAGGCCCCAAATAAGAAATCTAAGACACTAAAACAAAAATTAATAGAAGCACTACTGAGAGAAGCAACACCAGCACAGATAATAAAAGCAAAATTGCTGACCACGGGGGGGACATAAAGTATATTGACCAGACCACACACTAGAAGGTGAAGGGACGACGACGTTTCGGTCCGTCCTGGACCATTCTCAAGTCGATTTGAGAATGGTCCATGACGGACCGAAACGTCGTCGTCCCTTCACCTTCTAGTGTGTGGTCTGGTCAACATACTTTAGCCACGTTATTGTGACTCATCGCCGACATAAAGTATAGAAAGACTGAGAGTTGAGAAACCTCCAAGATGTGAGAGGTGTGAGGGGTGAAAACAAAAGTCGTTGTTATTGGTTGTTGTTATGTTGTTATAGATTCAGCTACTCGGAACAAGTGCCAAGTAGCACGGGCTATGGTGAGCCCGTAACTTACCTGGCACAGGAGCGGGGCAAGTAGCACGGGCTATGGTAAGCTCGTAGTGAACTTACCTGGCACAGGAGCGTTTTTTTTTGTTATTGAAAAGGATTTCACTAACATAACATGTTAAAGATGTCAAAGGAAAAAAGAGGCAAGAGATACACCTCGCTTCCAGGATCCGATCTTCACCCAGAATAAGAAGGGCATTGAGAACTTCGAGCATGAAATTCCACAGGGAGCCAACGACCATTATATCCTGACCTATGACTATACTACAGCACTATCTTATGTATGACCCTCTGTCCTGCGTGACAGTGAATACCAGCATTACCCTCACTTTAATAAGACTTTATCAAAATCCTCAGATTAGGCAAAATTGTAATTAATTTTGCCAATAAAGATGTTAATAATAATAACTAAAAGTAAAGGAAAGGAGAATATACCAGAGAAAAAAGAATACGAGAGTATCTGGGAATTAAGCAAAGGGAGAAACGACAGTCCAAGAAATGACGGAATAAGTCAAAAAGGGGATTTACAGAGGCTGAGATGAGGTACATAACCCCATTAAAGTATCAACACAAGAGAGAATATAATAACCTGCTCTTTAAAATAAACAAGGCATAGAAACAAAAGAAAAAAAGCGGGAGAACGTGTAAAAAATTAAGATAAAGAAAACCGACGCAGATAGGAATTCGACCAAGAAACTTATAAAGATCAGAAGGCGACTTACGCGATAGATTTGGCTCCAGAGGTTGTCGGGAGGCAAGGGGCGGACGCGCACGGAGACAGGGTGACCAAACATGCTGTTGACGCCTTGTCGTCTCATGCACAGGTGGGTCCCGTCGTGGTGGATCTTGATAGACTGCAAATGAAACTAATTGTCAATATTCTGAAGGAATAACAATAATACTATTCCACACACAGAGATCACACTAACGTGATGCATCAAATGAACTTATGTATGACCCTCTGTCCTGCGACAGAGGGTCAGAGGATTTGTTCAATAATACTATTAATAACAACCAACGAAGCTACTATTAATTACACTTATAACAACAATCAGAGATAGAAAGGTAGAAAATGCCCGTTACCTTGAATATAACGCTGCCGTTGGCGAAAACGGTGAGTTCCTCGTCAGTGTAGTCGACAGGGAAGGCGTCTTTGACTCCGTGCAGCAGGAAGTAGGCCATGTCACCACTTCCAGGACAGTCCAGCTGGTACTGCGAGACACAGGTGCCACATTTGTCATAGGTTTGGTGCTTGGTGGGGGGGGGGGGGTTAAGGCTTATCACCCACGGGAGGGTTATTATGGCCACCATAAGGTACTTACTGACCAGCCAGCAAGTTATACTTTAAGGTAAGATTAAGGTTAACTCTTACTTTAAACTCTTACCTTACCTCTTAAGATTAAGGTAAACTCTTAGGGGTGTGTACCCCAAGAAATGTGGTACTCTTCTCGGTGGCTGACAGTCGTATCGACGGTAATTACCTTTGGCTGACAGTCGTATCGACGGTAATTACCTTTGGCTGACAGTCGTATCGACGGTAATTACTTTTGGCTGACAGTCGTATCGACGGTAATTACCTTTGGCTGACAGTCGTATCGACGGTAATTACTTTTGGCTGACAGTCGTATCGACGGTAATTACCTTTGGCTGACAGTCGTATCGACAGTAATTACTATTACTATTTTTGTTACTCCTACTATTACTATTACTATACTATACAGCTTCTCAGCTTCAACAAGTAACATATCAACCTGCATTGGCATTGTGCCCTGGTGAGGCCACTCCAGACCGACAACCCGAGCGCCACTCCATAGTCTCCTGAGACTGATGGATGCCTACTACTACAACTACAACACTACTACCACTACTACTTCTTCTACTACTACTACAACACTGCTACTACTGCTACCACTACTACTACTACCACTACTACTTCTTCTACTACTACTATAACACTACTACTACTGCTACCACTACTACTACTACTACTACTACAATAAACTACAGCTCCTACACTTCTAACGTACTCTGCACATTTCGTACAGGCAAATGGTTAACTGACCTCTGTAAATGCTTGGAATATATCATCTACCGTGGCGAATACCACAAGTGGGAGAACACTTACAAAACAGTTGTTCTTCTTTGAGAAAAGTACAATTGGGAACATTACTTACGCGAGTGTTCACTTTGGTGATCAGCACAACTGGGAGAACACTTACAAATGTGTTCTCCTTAGGGACGTCGGTGGCCCGGGCAGTGGGAGCCAGGAAGACCATCACAGTCAGAAGGATCACGTGGTACTGCATTGTCACACCTGCGGCAGGAGGCTACCTGAGGGAGGGAGTGTACTACAGTATTGTATTCAGCCTAAGACTCGCTGGCAGGAGAAGCGGGGCCAGGGAAGGAAGGGGCGAGTGGAAGTCAATGAATTCCGCTCGATCCTTTCTCGTCGTAATTCCCTACAATTACAATTACGACGAGAAATGTGGAGATTGTAATATTGCATTAACTGGACAGGATCGAGGTTAAGAGGCGGGGCTAGGGAGCTAATGCTCAGCCAAACAAATGTATACGCGTGCACTACACACACACACACACACACACACACACACACACACACACACACACACACACACACACACACACACACACACACATTTTTTCAGTGTTAGGGCAGTTAACAAATAAAATACATTAGACAGTGATGTGGTGGAGGCTGATTCCATACACAGTTTCAAATGTAGATATAATAGAGCCCAGTAGGCTCAGGAATCTGTACACCAGTTGATTGACAGTTGAGAGGCGGGACCAAAGAGTCAGAGCTCAATCCCCCCACAAACACAACTAGGTGAGTACACACACACAAACTAACAATCATCATCGTCGCAGTTTCTGCAACTACTATAACAAAAACAAAAAACATAAACAAAATAAGCAAAACAACAAAAACAGACCACAGGCTCAATTTTTGTTTTGTTCCGAAGGACGAGTTTACTGGGCAGCGTCACTCATCCTGTGAGTGACCCACACTGCTATAGTGACAGTACTGGGCAGCGTCACTCTTCCTGTGAGTGACTGTACTGCTAGAGTGACAGTACTGGGCAGCGTCACTCATCCTGTGAGTGACCCACACTGCTATAGTGACAGTACTGGGCAGCGTCACTCTTCCTGTGAGTGACTGTACTGCTAGAGTGACAGTACTGGGCAGCGTCACTCATCCTGTGAGTGACCACACTGCTATAGTGACAGTACTGGACAGCGTCACTCATCCTGTGAGTGACCACACTGCTAGAGTGACAGTACTGGGCAGCGTCACTCATCCTGTGAGTGACCCACACTGCTATAGTGACAGTACTGGACAGCGTCACTCATCCTGTGAGTGACCCACATATACCTGAATTTACCTGAAGGGCCACTACCTCTCCAGTGGCCTCGACGAGGACGAGAAGGTAATGTAATTATCAGGAAAAAACGCTAAGCCAAAACAACTAAACCAGCACTTAGAAGGGATAAGGATAAGGATTCTTGTCCTCGGAAGCGGCTGCTTGTCCTCGAGGAGGACTGAAAGTCGCTACAAGGTTATATATAACAATAATAACCTCGAGAAGAACTCGACCTCGCAGTGTTTCCGTAAATTATTCAGTAAATACTAACGAAAGATGCACAGGTTTCGTAAATAAATACGTGTCTGTGTTTTTGTTTATGTAAATCCTGTTTCGGGGCCTTTTTTACGCGTGATATAGTCTGATTCTCATCCCCCATTCACGTGAATGGGGGAATGAGCTGATTCTCATTCCCCATTCCCAGGCTCATTCCTTCCCCATGCAAACACGTGATGGCGTCACAGTCAGGACCTTCAGTGCCCCAACACCCTTCATTACACATCCCCCAATCTCAAATTGCCACTCCTCCAACTCATCCCTCCCCCCCTCACACTTCACCACACTCCCCCACACCTCAACTCATATATTCACCCCAAACTCAACCAATCCAGAAAATTTGTGTTTGCTGCCTCACTTGGAAAATCCTGTTGTGTGTTGTGGAGACTGAGCGTCCGCTGTCAGACTACACCTCCTCCCCCAGCCACACCTCCCCCAGCCACAGCGCCACCACAGTCATCACCACCCCAGCCACAGCTCCCCCAGCCACAGCACCACCACAGTCATCACCACCCCAGCCACAGCTCCCCCAGCCACAGCACCACCACAGTCATCACCACCCCAGCCACAGCTCCCCCAGCCACAGCACCACCACAGTCATCACCACCACAGTCACCACCACCCCAGCCACAGTCCCGGCACTAGACAATGCTGACCAGATTAACGAGCAATTGGTCAGATCACATTCCCACAACCATGTCCCACCTATACCGCCAGGACTGATCACACACTCACCTGTCCAGCTGTCCAATCACTTGGGCTGGACGGTAGAGCGACGGTCTCGCTTCATGCAGGTCGCCGTTTAATCCACGACCGTCCAAGTGGTTGGGTACCATTCCTTTCCCCCAGTCCCATCCCAAATCCTTATCCTGATTCCTTCCCAGTGCTATATAGTCGTAATGGCTTGGCGCTTTCCCTGATAATTCCCTCCCCTCATGTGTCCAGTTACGTTGAATCAACGTTATTGACGTCGATTCAACGTGTTTTGTCCAACACGTGCCCACACGACTCGTACATCTTTCCTCAAAGACGTACAAGTTTGGAGATGCTACGAGGTCCTCGTCACGAAGTGCCAGATTCACGAAGCAGTTACGCAAATACTTACGAACGTGTACATCTTTCCTCAATCTTTGACGGCTTTGGTTACATTTACTAAACAGTTTACAATCATGAAAACTTCCCAATCAACTGTTGTTGATGTTATAAACCGCTTCTTGGTGTTTCGGAGCTCATTAACTGTTTAATAATTGTAAACAAAGCCGCCAAAGATTGAGAAAAGATGTATAGGTTCGTAAGTGCTTGCGTAACTGCTTCGTGAATCTGGCCCCGAGGTTATCATTGTTCTAGACTACATCGTAACCCTTCGGAGCCTAACAAAAATATTCAATAAACGCAAACTGAGCCTCTGTGATCGGGGAAGAGATGTTTTTGAGATATATACAAGAGTTGTTACATTCTTGTACAGCCACTAGTACGCGTAGCGTTTCGGGCAAGTCCTTAATCCTATGGTCCCTGGAATACGATCCCCTGCCGCGAAGAATCGTTTTTTCATCCAAGTACACATTTTACTGTTGCGTTAAACAGAGGCTACAGTTAAGGAATTGCGCCCAGTAAATCCTCCCCGGCCAGGATACGAACCCATGACATAGCGCTCGCGGAACGCCAGGCGAGTGTCTTACCACTACACCACGGAGACTGCTGAGGTTTCTGCGGAGGACTGACTGCGGAGGACTGCTGATGTAGAGGTTTCGCAAGTGGATGATTGTTAGTCCTGAGAGCAGCACCAGAAGATGCAGCAAGGACAGAGTGTAGTGCTCAGCGGAACACAACACTAATATAGAGGACTTAAAGATGGAAAGACGAGTTCGCAATAGCGGTTGTGGGGTGAGGGAGAGAGTGAGGTATTGAGGTAGGAGTGAGGTAGGAGTGAAGGTAGGAGAGAAAGTAGAGAGATGAGAGATAGGGAAACAGTGGTTGAGAAATAGGAAAGAGGTCGATGTTTGAGGAAAGGGGAAGTGCAGTGTTTGCGAACCTTGGGTGTTGTCATTGTTTTTCACATGACTCAGGCTTATCTTTGCTTTACACGTGTGTGTGTGTGTGTGTGTGTGTGTGTGTGTGTGTGTGTGTGTGTGTGTGTGTGTGTGTGTGTGTGTGTGTGTGTGTGTGTGTGTGTGTGTGTGTGTGTGTGTGTGTGTGTGTGTGTGTGTGTGTGTGTGTGTGTGTGTGTGTGTGTTTGTGTGTGTGTGCGTGTGTGTGTGTGTGTGTGTCTGTGTGTGTGTGTGTGTGTGTGTGTGTGTGTGTGTGTGTGTGTGTGTGTGTGTGTGTGTGTGTGTGTGTGTGTGTGTGTGTGTGTGTGTGTGTGTGTGTGTGTGTGTGTGTGTGTGCGTGTGTATTCACCTAGTTGTTCTTGCGGGGGTTGAGCTCTGCTCTTTCGCCTACCTCTCAACTGTCAATCAACTGAAATTAACTACTAATGTTTTTTTTTTCCACACATACACACACACCCAGGAAGCAGCTCCGTAACAGCTGTCTAGCTCCCAGGTACCTATTTACTGCTAGGTAACAGGCGCATCAGAGTGAAAGAAACTTTACCCATCTGTTTCCGCCATTTTCCACACATTTGTTGTATAGGTTTGAGTGTGCGCACGCGCGTTGCTCTTTGAGTTAATACCATCAGAATTCGAATAAAAACATTCTAGTGTTCTTAGGACTGCTTCTCATATATCATTAATATATGTAGATGAAGAACAAAAAGAACCACATCAGTAAGATATTCACATCATCATGGCAAAAAAAAGAGTGCACACTCTCGGTAATTAATTAAAAGAGTAATTAGGAGTTAATGGCTTCGCTCCAAGACGCCAACATTGACGTATGCTGGGCTCAGTCTTATACATATCACCGGCCGTCGCCGGTAAACTCAAGAACGCCCAAAAACAAGAGGGCCAAAACGTCAGAAAAGTATGTACCTCTTTGTGTCATTTATACTTTTTTAACACACCTAATTTAGCTTTATGCATCCGAACCTAACCTAGCTCAGGGGCACCGCTCCTGTGCCAGGTAAGTTACGGGTTCACCACAGGAGCCGGTCGGCCGAGCGGACAGCACACTGGACTTGTGATCCTGTGGTCCTGGGTTCGATCCCAGGAGCCGGCGAGAAACAATGAGCAAAGTTTCTTTCACCCTATGCCCCTGTTACCTAGCAGTAAAATAGGTACCTGGGTGTTAGTCAGCTGTCACGGGATGCTTCCTGGGGGTGGAGGCCTGGTCGAGGACCGGGCCGCGGGGACACTAAAGCCCCGAAATCATCTCAAGATAACCTCAAGAAGATAGCCCGTAACTACTAGGAACTTGTTCCGAGTAGCTGAATCTATAATAACATAATAACAACCTAGCTGAACTTAACCTAATCTCTAAACTAATCTTACCCAACCCAGCTCAACCTAATCCAATCTAATCTAACCCAAGAAAGCCTAACCTAACCTAACCCAGGCTAACCTTACTTAACACAACGAAAAAAGACAAAAATATTGTATATATAGTCTGCACGAGGTGTGACGTCATAATGACGTTACAACTGTAATGTCGGGACAGGTTTTAGACTAGGGTGAGATAAAGTGTGTCCTACAGTTGTATGATTTCATTGCAACATGGAGGGGGGATTAGAGATTA